AGGGTCTTTTTTTGGGGGGGGGGGGGGGAATCACACATTTTAAGATAGTATTTAATGGAAGGTCTTTTAAAATCACAATGGATCATAGCTGTCAACTTCAAATAGTGCCTTTCTCCTAAAGAGCTTAAGTTTACACACTGCAGATGCTACAAAGGGAGCTATAAGGAAAAACAAATTTTATTCACAACATTCTGCATATAAACTTTTCCTTCTGCAGACTTGTGTGAATTGAAAATAAAGGATGCTAATATGCACATTATGCAGCACATCAAAAAAGAAAAAGAGAGAAAACACTTTAGTTGAGTAAAAATTCATTTATATACTGAAAATCTGGAAGAATTCACATCCACTGTACTCCAAATTTACCCCCAAGTGACAGAAAAATACTGTATGAAATGGAAAAAAAATTAAATATTATTTAATCAACAGCTGATTACCTTTAAAACTTTGGGCTTCTTTTCCCTCTGGGGCCTCTTGTTTTCTTTTATAACCTAAAAAAAATCAAATTGCAAAATGAGCCTCCATTTAAGAAAAAAATTATCTCCCACTCCCCAAAATTTTTTGGCTATTTCTCTGTAAAACTACTTATACCATTTACAATCATCAACATGTTTGCTAGGCAGAACCTAAAGAGCTTATGTAAAATGTATACTTTAAAAGTCACTGAAAAAATTTTTTGTATAAAGATGAAGAAGGGAAATACCCTTTTTTCCCCTTAAAGTCTGTCTTAATTAGCCTCTGATTCTTCACAGCGAAGCCCACGAGGTAGCCATCTTGCTCGCTTCTGCAGAGGAAGCCTCTACAGTGGAACAGTTCTGCAAACTGCTTTTTGGTATTATTATCATGGTGTTTAAAGGCAGCCCTGGCCTGCCAGCACTGTAGACGTGCTGGGCATGCCTTTTGCAAAAACAGCCCCACAAAGAGTGCAGCCAATGGCAATGCAGAGCTTAGCAACTCCAAAGTGATCTTCTCAGCCTAGCCCTTCCTAGACAAAGGATCTCCTGTGCGGCTCTGCTCTCACCACAGGACACAGGCAGCCACAAGCTGCGACATGGAGTTCGCTGCAGAGGATCTGGTCGCGCCGAAATCACAGGAGGCTTCCGCAAAAACAATGCACACAAATCCCCCAGGTCGCCACCATTGGATCGATGGCGGAGTCTCCCTGATTAATAACCTCTGGGTGGCTCAGAGGGCAGGTCTGCGCGGGGGAGGGGTGTACTGCTCTTTCTCCAACGTACAGGAGATATAACTGAGCCTAGGGGGGCATTTGGGCTTGCTGAAACTCTGGAAGGTATTGTGCATTTTTACTTTATAAGGCAAGGCTAAATATTGGCGATATTTAAGGCAGGGAGGTTATGTGAGGACAGTGCAGGCTCAGCTGCTGGGCTGCGTGTCTCATTCCTCGGGAACCACACCTCTCTGCAGCGGGCGCTTTGCCCAGAAACACAGCAATTTGATTTCTGTCAATAAATGTCCAATGACAAAGGCAGATTAAAAAATGACAATAAAGCTACTTGAAAGGAAAAGGACGGGATGAGGACAGGCAGAGAGAGAGGACCTTTCGAAATACACTTGCCACTCTGAAAGGCTAGAGAATCTCCCCTCTCTTGCTCTGGACATTTCTGAAGATCTTCATTTCCCAGAGAAATCCCTGCCCTACCAGAAGGCAGACTCAGACTTGTACTTTTGGGACAAAAAGACACCATTGGGTCCTCTCTTTCCCAAGATCATCCACTGTCACTGAGCATCTCTCCACAGAGCTGCCAAGCAGGTCCCCACGTGAAGCCCGTCTGCACACCAGCCTAGCGGTCAGACACAGCCACCCACTTCCCAGGGACCGGGACCTGAGCCAGGAGTGGAACAAGCCACCATCTGCCCCCACACACCTGGACTGCCCCCATACCCGGTGGGTGGTAGGTGCTGGGAGAGCTGGCACCATGGTTGGTACCTGCCAGACACTGGGAAAGGCGAAACCAGGAGTCTCCTTCCCGTTAGCCCCCTGGCGTTGCAACAGCGGCAGCAGCGGGAGGACCAGGGCAGCTGCTGCAAGCTGGCTGGTCTCAAGGTCACTGCCAAAATGCAGTGCAGAGGTTGGTCACAGTCCCATCACAGCCACCTTGACAGCTGCACATTCTTCACATCTTGGGAAGACAGCCTCAGCTCCAGCCTCTCAGGGCCAAAGTTTCAGCAACACATTTAGGGATTGGCAAGACAGCCTCCCTGGGTGCTCAGCCAAAGATGGGTTTTCCACTTGCAGTTGGATTCAGAACAGATTCCCACAACCAGAAATCGGGAGCAGAGCAAGGGCCGGAAGGCCTGCATTGCATCACTGTGGATTCCATGCCTTTTGGTTTGCCACAAAAGCATGCTTTCCTTGTGGGGATGGGAAGTTCAGCATGTATTGCTTTCCCACTTTCAAACTACCTCTCCCCCATCCACCCCCCAAATTTTGAACAAATTCATGTAAGAGTTGGTGTTCTCAACTCTTCCTTAAACACTTGTAGAAAAACCGATGGATTCTGACCTAACCACATCCACCAGTGCGATGTCAAAGCACCCTAAGCCCACAGTATCTCTAAGAAGATCTCTGTGGGAAATGAAGCAACCATGAAACAGGTAGAAAAACAGGATCAAATACAATCAGGTTTAAAAATGCATACAGGTGGCTGGCCAGTTAGCTCAGCTCATTAGAGTGTAGTGCCGATAACACCAGGGTCCAGGGTTTGATCACCGTACTGGCCAGCCACCAAAAAAAGAAAAGAAAATGGACACAACACTTTTATATCTCTTTTTTCTTTATGCTTTTTGTGATTTTTTTTTTTTTACTGTGGTAAAATACACATAGCTTAAAATTTACCACTTTTACTATTTTTAAGTGTACAATACAGTGGCATTAAGTATGTTCCTAAAGTGCACCTATCACTCCTCTCCATTTCTAGAACTTTTTTTCATCCTCCCAAACAGAAACTCTGTACCCATTCAACAACTCCTGGTTCACCTTCTCCCAGTCCCTGCTAACTTCTGCTCTACTTTCTGTCCCTATGAAATTGACTACTCTAGGTACCTCATACAAGTGGAATCATACAGTATTTATCCTTTTTTTTTTTTTTTTTTTTAAAAAAGATGACCGGTAAGGGGATCTCAACCCTTGGCTTGGTGTTGTCAGCACCATGCTCAGCCAGTGAGCAAACCGGACATCCCTATGTGGGATCCGAACCCGTGGCCTTGGTGTTATCAGCACCGCACTCTACTGAGTGAGCCACGGGCCAGCCCGGTATTTATCCTTTTGAGGCTAGTTTACCTCACTTAGCATAACGTTTTCAAGGCCCATCCATGTCATAGGATGTATCACAATTTCATTTCTTTTTAAGGCTAAAGAATATTCCTTTGTGTATGTATAACACATTTTGTTTGTTCGTTCATCTGTTATCAGGTATTTGGGTTGTTTCTCCCCTTTGGCTATTGTGAATAATGCTGCTATGAATATTAGTGTACAAGTACCTATCCGAGTTGCTGCTTTCAATTCGTTTGAGTGTATACTTAGGAGTGGAATTGCTGGATCATATAAGTCTATGTTTAACTTTTTGAGGAACTGTCAAACTGTTTTTCACAGCAGGTTCAACATTTATATTCCCATCAGCCATGCACACAAGGGTATCCTGACATTTATTTTTCCTTGGCAACCTAAGCAAACATCGAAGGTCCACGTGCACTGTTGTGTAAAATTAGTTAATAAATAAAGCCAAAGCTCATCCCAGTTAGATATGAGAGCTAATGAAAGTGACTAGAGCTAACATTAACTACAAACATGAAACGGATGCTGCACCATGAAGATCTGTACTTGTTTGAACACAGAATAGATTGGTATCCTCTATTGGTTGTGACCATCCATTCCAATTCCTACACTGAACGATCTGATGGTCTTATCTCAGGGTTTAGGTGACAGTGAGTTTTGATAGAGAGAATAATCAGAAATTACTAACAGAGGGCCAAGGGCCAGCCCATGGCTCACTCAGGAGAGTGTGGTGCTGATGACACCAAGGCCACAGGTTTGGATCCCTATATAGGGATGGCCAGTTGGCTCGCTTCGGAGAGCGTGGTGCTGATGACACCAAGTCAAGGGTTAAGATCCCCTTACCGGTCATCTTCAAAAAAAAAAAAAGGGAATTACTAACAGAGAAATTGGAAGCCAGTCAAGGAAGCCATTCCCAATCTCTTATTTAGGGTGAAGTGCATACAACTAGATCCTGTTAAAAGATCAGAAACTAAGAAAACCTTTGGTGTTAGCCATAGTTATTCAGAACTTGTTTTTGTCACTTAAATCTATTTGCTTTTCTCACAAGGAATCATGACTATTAAATTGCACGAATAGGTATGGAATTTTGTAATAACTCAAGTGTGTAAGGTCTTTTCATATATTACAAAATGAGATCTCTTTCCTCTTAAAAAAAATCACAGGATTATAGGACTAATGAGAACATTACATAAAACTTAGTCTAACTACCATATTTCATAGGTAAACTGAAGGCCAAAGAGGTAAAATTACTTAATCAGGTTACACAGCGAGTTAGAAATTGACTTGAGCCTACTTTTAACCATGTACACTGCTCTCTCTACAACTCCTCATTTTCAATACCCAACAATAGACAGTTGTAAATATACTGAAAAAACCTGAAAAGAAATGTCTGCAAAAACACACAGTTTCACTTGCAGAAGAAGAACAGCTCAGACTTCTAAAAGATTGGTATTTTTTTTTTTCTTTTTGTCTTTTTTCGTGTCCGGCAACGGATTGCAACCCTCAGTGTCGCGCCCGTCCCGGACTGGGACCGGCAATGGAATCGCAAACCTCGGTGCTGCACCCGCACCTCGCTCAGCCAGTGAGCGGGAACCGGTCTGTATGTGGGATCCGAACCCTCGGGGGGAGCGCCACCATGCTCCCAAGCGGCGCACTGTAGCAGTGCGCCACCGGGCCGGCCCTAAAAGATTGGTATTTTAAAACAACATTACACTGAGGATGTAAGCATGTTCTGTGCCCTCAGAGCTAAATTTATGAATAATTTCAAAATTCTACTTTTCCTTCTAGGTGTAAGCAATTTTGCATCTACAAGTATCTAGATGCACATACTCTGCCTAGATTGAAACAACAGTAGCCTACTAGGAGTCTCCTTCCAAATTAATCTCAGGAGTAATCCACCTTTCCTCAAGACTGACGTCACTGAAGCACAGTACCCTTCCAATATTTGCCATACTCCTTCTCTCATGAAACCCTTCTATATTTTTCATCTTACATTACTTTTGGGGGCAACAGCCTTTGTTGTAATGTCTGAATAAAGATGTTCTCAAGTACTATCTTTTATAAACTTCCAATCAATAAGAATAAAGAAAGGATGTCTCATACCTTTCACAATTCTATCAGATTTTAAAAATTAGTACATTTTTTTTTTTCCTGTGTGACACAGGGACCTGAAAGACTAGCACTAGAAAATCTTCC